ACCCCATTTCCCGAACAGAAGAGAATAGAAGTTCTTGTCTATCTTGTTTACAGCTGTGTGCCCAGAGCCTGGGCAGGGCCTGACTCATAGGAGAAGCTTGGTTTACATTTGCTGATGGACTTGACTATGAGGACTATAGCTATGATTGTTAGAGCTGGAAGAGAAAACAGTCTAACCTCATGGTTTCACAGATGGGGAAACAGAGGCACAGACAGAGTCACTTGTCCAGTGGCATGAATGCAAACGTATGCAAGCCCGGTTGGTCATGTGCAATCCTGAGGGTTTTTTCCCCCCATAAACAGTAGTAGCCACTAAAAGTGAGGGTTAGTTATTTCCTTCTACAAGCTCCACGCCAGGTTATCATGAAAACAGATCTCAGAACAATTTCCATCACCCATACAAATATTTATAAAACAAACATTTATGAGGAAGTAGCCACAAAACTGGTTCATACCATCTGTTCGGTAAAGTCAGTGACGGCCCAGAGCTCTGTCCTTCTAAGTGCTCTACCACCGTGCATGAAGGGTCCACTAACGGAAGATATGACATTCTAGAGGCAGGATTCAGTTAGACTGATGGTCACTTCAGGCAACCAGGAAACCTCTGGACATGGGACCCTCCATTCCATGATTCAGTCCAGTGCCTCATCCCTGAGTAGGATTCTTTTACTCTGAACAAGGAATGGGTGGTATCCGCGAACCATTTTAGCCACTCTACGTTTCTTGACTACTACTAATTCCACCAAAGGAGAGCTCATTTCTAATGCCTATTATGCTAATTAATAAGCAATTAATTTTACTAATGCATTCATTACGGCATTCTCTGTGTAATGTACTAATGCGTAATGATTACGGCATTCTCATCAGTAAAGCTTTAGGAGTGGATTGAGACTTGGAGAACTGTAGAGACTGCTGAGTTGATTGTTTGTGATTGTGTAAGTTTCTTCTTTACTCCTAGGTTCATTGACTTGGAGTTGGTAACTTGAAAGCAGATATGGCGGAAGTATTTACACTGTGGAAATTGGTAGCAAGGTCCTTCCCCATGGAGAGCCAGTTATTAAACATCAGCATACCACTGAATAGCCGAGTGACCCCTAGAATGTGGCCTTTCTGATAAAATGATGGCTGACTACTTCACCCTCCGAACTACCTCTAAACCAGTGACACTAAGTCCTGGCTGCACTTTAGAAGGTACCTGGGACCTTTAAATCAATACTGATTTCCAGGTCCCTGTAGGTGGAGATTCTGACTTGATGGGGTGGGGGCCTGGATACCAGGACACATTTAAAGCTCACCAGGTGGTTCTAATCCGAAGCCAGGGCTACACTCACATTTCTTTGTCACACTATGCCACATCTTCTAGCAGTCTGAGAAAAAGTTAATATCAAAACCAGGATGATCACTAGACCTGATGACCCCAGCCCAGAGCTCCTGGAAAAAGGATAGAAAAGTTGAAAATAGGTTGCCACTTCTCTTGAGGTCTCAGTGTTTGCAGATGTGGCTGAGGGGCAGTCCTCAGCAGTTGGGGGTCAGATTCAGAGTGGGGAAGGACAACGAAGGAGCTCAGGAGCCCAGGGAAGGCTGTGCCAGCCCCAAAAGCTCCAGGTTCCCTCTGCAGGGGTGTCTCAGAGTGTCATCCACCAGGGCATCTTACAGAGGCTCAGGTGCGTGTGGATGGGAGAGGGAGACAGACTAACCCCTTCGGGGGCAAGGAGCTAGACTAGCCCTCCAGGGGGCAGACACTAGCACCTCAAAGAGTGGGGGTATAAGACCAATTCCGCAGTGCTTGGTGAGGGAAGCTAGTCTCCCAAAGAGAAGTTAGGAGTTAGTTTCCTCCCTCTCAAAGGACAGAAAGGACAACTTTTAACACTATGGTAGGATGTCTTCTTGGACCTTGGTTATTCATTTGAAGGTAACCTGCAGTAGTCCCTGGTTCCATGTCCCTACATGTGAGCGCCCTTGCAAGGCCTGATTATTTTGTACAAGGAAACAGACTTCCTTTTAACCCATCTGGGCAGGGCATTGCCGCCTCCTCACCCAACCTTGTTTTTTCTTCCTTCTAGGGCAGAGCCCTGAGGGCTGGGCCGGCTGTGTGTCTGTTTCTTACCGGGAGTCTGAGTATACAGGAGGCTTGGGTGTCCAGGACAGAGGACGTGGACAAGGGTGCCATTCCTGCAGGCACCACCAGGGACCCCACCCAGCGCTGCCTTGAGCTCATGACCTCTGGGCCACACATTTAATTACCAAAAGCCACAAACAAATTGTCTGACTCCCAAGCCCCGGGGCTGAACTGGGCCCGGGTAGCAAGGACACAGCAGTGAGTCAAGCTGGGGCCATGTAGCTGTGGGAGACGACTTCCAGCCATGTCTGGCACGAGGCAGAGGAAAGGCCTGGTGGGGAGAGGCCTGGTGAAACCTGGGCTGAGGGTGTGTAAGAAAGGGGGCCACTGACTCGGCCTGAGGATGGGCGCAGAGGAGGGCTTCCAAGAGGAAGAGGCCTCTGGCAGCCGTGTTGGGATCTTTCCTGGCCACCGAGAAGGGGATTCCTGGAGACTGGTGAGGGAACGGGCCTCCGTTACAAAAGGAAACTCCCGTCCCCAGCTCCATGGGGGCCCCTTAGCCCCATCCTGGTCAGCTGCACCTTCCTAGATGCCGCACTCCTCTCCCTCAAGCTGAGCAACTCCACTTATTCCATTCACACCTTGAACACTTTTAACACCTTAGCGGTTAGGTCCTGCTCTTTTCCCATAGTCTTCCCTCTTGACAACACTGGAAAGTATGCATTTCTATGTACCCCAGATTAGGCGCGCTCACTCTCTCCCTAGAGTCCTCTGTACACATTGTCTCACGCCCCATTAGTACAGGCGTTTTCAGAGTTGCACGCGACCTCCTTTGCAAAAACCCTCGCCCCCTCCCCTCCCTTATCCTCCTCTGAGTTCTGAGCCGTAGCCCTGCCCCCAGCCCGCCTCCTCCCAGGGCTGGGCTGCTGCCTCGCGCCCATTGGCCGCTGGGGCTAGCTGGTCCCGGGCCTCGGCTGTGATTGCGGCTCGCCAGTGTCAGTCCCCGAGTGAGCGCCGGTGGCGGGGCCAGCAGCCCGGCAGGCAGCCGCAGGTGGGGGTGCTCGCAGCCAGGGACCTAGCCGGATAGCCCCGGGGCCCGGCGCCACAAGTGCCCAGGATGCCCCGCGGGGACTCGGAGCAGGTGCGCTACTGTGCGCGCCTCTCCTACCTCTGGCTCAAATTCTCGCTCGTCATTTACTCCACAGTGTTCTGGGTGAGTGACCCCAGTAGGGCCTGTGGGTGGGGATGGGGGACACACTCCATCGACTGCTCCCACGCCGATCCCGGGATTGGGTCCAGACTTGGCTGCTTCTGGGAGGGCGCGCGGGGAGGTGGGGTGGAGTGGGGCCGCACGTCTAGTTTCTCGTCCCACTCTCCCTGGGAACCTGGAAATTCTGGTGACCAGGCTCAGCCAGAATTTCAGCCGCCGAGTCGGGAGTCTTAGAGCTGGTTAGCTACGACGAAGAAGCACTGCCTGGCTTACGGGCTTGCACCTGACTGGTGCTCTGTCTGGTCCCGCGCATCCGCTGGTGCAGTAGCGGGTGGTTCCCGCGTCGGCCGCGCCCACCCCGAGTTTGCCTCCTCATCAGCCTTTGGAGTACGTGGTCAGGCTTTGTGGCCCTGGACTCCCAGTCCCATCCCCACTATTTACTTGCTGTTGCCCCTGAACAAGATGCTACCCCACTGCTCTTGGTTTCCTCTTGGGTAGAAGGAGGATTGCCAGGAGGATGCGCGTGCCTTGTCCGCGTAGTGGTTGGGAGGATTCCACCAGATGACATCTGGGGAGGTCTCCGGCCGCTCCTAGGTGCCCAGTAACTATTTCTGAGCCCACTGAGCTTTACCCCTTCTTTCTCTTGTTGCGGGGCAGCATGATAGTAGTTGGACATGAACTAGCCTTCAAATCCTGCCTCTACCACTTTCTAGCTGCATGATCTTGGGGAAGTTACTTTAACTCTCTAGGCCATAGTTTTCTCATATGCAAATGGTGACAGTAATTATATCCAACTTTTAAGATGTTTGTGGAGATTAAATGAAATAGGTGAAGTACAATGCTTAGCATGGGGACCAGTGAAGAGCTCAAGAAATGTGAGCCATTTTTATTATTGTGGGCTGGGCCCTTCTAATAAACTATCCCAAGAGACTGGATTTCTTTATGGAAATTTCAGACTAGGCTGGCCCCCACCTAGAAATGAGGACATTTTTCTACAGTCCACTCCAGCCCTGCCCCTGTAGAATATATTCCAGTATGCCACAGGGCAGTCTTACCCAGGGACCAGAGAGGAAGTCACCCACACCCATCTCCCTAAAACACATATGCTCTACTGATCTCAGCTCCTTGTTGGGTCTATTCTGCTAGCAGGAACTGCTAGTTCTGCCATCAGGTCTCACTTTCCATGTGACCCCTCTGTAGATGTGACCTTGCCTAGTAGTCAAGGGATCCAGATTCCAGTCTCGTTCTGTTACTGACTCACTGGGAGACCCTAGGCAAGTCACTTCCCTATTTGGGGCCTCAGAGCTGTGAAATGACTTGCCTATCTAGAAAACCAGGTGAACCCAGCTCCAAATCCAGTTCTCTGACTCTAGGTAATGTGGAAGAGAGATGAGCAGTATATTTGGGGGCCAGAGGAAGGAGCATGGACCTGTTGGTAGAAGCTCCAGGGAGACAGCAGGTTGTATGTGAGTTTGAGGCGGGGGTGATTTAAGCTCTCATTTAGTGGTTCTATCCCAACCTTCCATCGGAATCAACTAGAGAATTTTAAAAACACTACAGATACCAGGGTATGGGTATTTATTTAAGCTCATTTAAGCTCTCCAGGTAATTCTAGTGTGTAGTCAGAATTGAAAACTGCTGGGCTAGATGGTCTCATAGGCTTCTTGATTCTGATTCTGCGATTCTTTGCCAGCCCCTTGCTTGTCTGGCCTCAGGAGCTCTTCTCTCTGTAGGTCAGAGTTGAAAGAGAGAAAGCTAAGGTTGATGGGTGGGGAGGTGGGCAATTAAGGGAAGACCAGGAGTCAGAAGATGGGGGTTATGTTTCTGGCTTCACCCTTTCTCTCCGTATGTAATCACTGTCCAGTCTCTTAGCCTCTTTTTCCCATCTGTAAAATGGATAACTGATACCATGCTCCATACTTCACTGGACCTTTTTTTAGAATTAGTGATGTGAGGAAATCGTGACATGTGGGCAAGCCAAGAGCTATATAAAAGAAAGTTATACCATTAAAACTTAAATTTTCAAGGCCTTGTTCTGTTATTGTCCCCTGCAGCCCAGAGAGAAGGCCACCTTATGGCTCTTGCTTTACTTCTTTGGGGCAGGATGGGACTCAGAACTTGGAATCCTTTCTCTCCAGCCATCCGAGATTGCCTTACCAAATCCTTGACTTCCCACCGCTGGAAGTATTTCTGCTTAAAAATCTCCCTACCCATGCCAAGAACTCAGCCACCTGCCAGCTCTGCCAGGGCAGCTCCAGGTGCCAGAGTTTGACTGCAGGGCGGAGCCCAGTGTGAGTAAGTAATTTGTTTGAGACTGGGTTTGCTGTTAATTGGAAATCATTATAGGAAAGCCCATTATCTCTGGTACTATCCCTCGGGAGGAGGAGTGGTGCCAAAGGTTACTTGTTTATAAGCCCAAAGTATTTACACTTTCATCTCAGTCTTTAGTTCTGGAAGGCGCTATGGTTTTACCATGGCCATGCACCTTCTCTAAGACATTTTGCTTTAGAACTGATTATGAAATAATGATCTTGTATAAAATTTAAAAGTATAAAAGAATAGTCATCAGTGACAGGCTTCCTTCCTACCCTCTCCCCTGGCCTGCCCTGGCCAGAAGGGACATCTATTATCTGTTTTTTTTTTTTGTGTGTGATGCTTTTGTGAGCTAATATTCCTAGCCATAGGATGCCCTATGGATATAAAATACACACATGTGTATTATATATTCTTTTCCCCCCTACATAAGGTAGCACACTATACACAGTTCTGCCCTTACCTTTTCACTTAAAGTTAAATCCACGTAAATTTTGGAGCTCTGCTAGAGGCTGCCTCATTCTGTTTGATAGCTGCATAGAATTCACTCTAGGCTATGCCAAACTTTAATCAGTCTCCAGCTGGGGAACTCAGGTTGTTTCCAGTTTCTAGTTACTGTAAACAGTGCCGCATGTTTGAATATGTTGCTTTGCACATATGTGTTCATGTCTGCAGGATAATTTCTAGAAGTGGAATTGCTGCGTTAACAGGCATGGGCATGTATAATACACATTCAGAAATGCACCGATCATAAGTGTATACAGCTTGATGAATTTTTACAAAGTGAACACACCTGTAATAATTAGCCCCCTCAGGTCAACCAATAGAATGAAAAGCAGAAGTCAGGCCCCCCAGCCCTTGTGCCCATTTCCAGTCCCTACCTTCCTCCCTCAATCACTATTGGAATGTTTAATAGCAAAAGACAGCTTTGCCTGGTTTTATATGTGTGCTTATGATGTTGATAGATGTTGTTAAATTGCCCTACATAGAGGTTTTACCAATTGTAATATTATTTACTATATTTGTTTAAACTCACTTTTTAAACTTAAATTTGTTTTTATTTATTTTTTCTAAATTTATTATTATTTATGCCTACAGCACCTGGTCTTCCTGGGTGGTCTCCCATCCAAGTACTAACCAGGCCTGACCCTGCTTAGCTTCCGAGATCAAACACCGAGCTTATTCAGAGTGGCATGGCCACAGACCATGGACTGTGGCTCCACTGGGGTGTGAACTCAGGACTTTCTGTGCACAAAGCAGACGTGCTAATCACTACACTATGGAACCACATCCAGAACTTAAATTTGTTTTTAAAAGGAGGGTTTATAGCACTACTGCCAATGGGAAACCAACATTCTGTCATTAAAAATATCAGGTAACAGGTACAATAAATACAGTGCAGGGGAAACAAAACATTATTAAATCCTAGCTAGATATTGTGGGTGCTATAGGCTATGAACCCGAGGCCTGCCCTCTGTTCAAAACGCAGGTTGGCAAGTGTTTGAGAGGCTTAAACACAAATTGGCACCAAAATTGAGGTTTGCTCCTTGATGTGATTGGCGGGGATTGGAAGGGAATTGAGCAATGAAAACTTTCCTCAGTCTATGAGTTAATATGCGTATGACCTTGAACCACTTAACAGAGATTTCCTGTCTCGCACTTGGAGACCTTCTCATTTTCAGAGAGGGCCCTCAGGGCCCAGTGAAGATGTGTTTCAGGGTCACTCAGTAGACTTGGCACGGACCCCCAGTTGTCCTCATCCTCAGTTCATTGCTCCGTTTTGGTAGGTTGCTGAGGATTTCTCCATGAGCAATGAGCTCAGCCAGAGGCACTTGGAGCCTCCTCTTCCCACCATGCAGGGTGAATCATTCTGACACACGTACCCTCAGCCCTTTAGGGACACATCTCTAATTTTAGCACTGACCACAGGGTATTCTAGAGATCCGTTTACACAATTTTTTTTTTTTTTTTCCTGGACTGTAACTCCTGGAGGTCAGGGTGTAGCTCATTTACATCTTCCAAATGCTTATCTTGGGGCTGGGCACCTAGTAGGTGCTAGTAGGTGCTCAGGGAAGGCTTGTTCCATTGATGTGGTTGAGTTCCAATCTGTGTGTTCTAAGCAAGGATCTAAAACGACAGTGCCTCCATTAGAGGCTGAGGCTGGGTGTATAGTCAACAGTGGCTAGGTTTTGCTGAAGCCTTGAATTTACAAAGTGGCCTGGGCTGATCATGGAGATACTGGCTTTCTAGAAAGCACCTAGTCTGTTGCCTTGACAAATGAGGTGTTGACTAATCATTATTGGTAGTAGTATTATTAGTAGTATGTATTGGAAACATTAGTTGTAATGTTAGGAAGAAAAAGACTTTAGTGGGGTGAGTGGGAAAGAAGTAGATGTGGGTAAGTAGAGGAGGAAATGAGTACCAAAGGCAATATTAACTCTTCTTTGCCTTGTCCAAGGATAGACCCTGTTATCATAGCTTAGGCCTGTGATTCTTTCTATTTCCCAATGGTTTCATGGTTAGGAGCGTGGACTCTGGACCAGGCTGCCGTTGTTTAAATCCCAGCTCTGGCAATTATAGGTTGAGTGACTTAGGCACTAACTTCCATGTGCCTCATTTGCCTTATTTGTAAAATGAGTGATATTAGAGTTGCTGAGACCATTAAATGGATTCATATATAGGAAATGCTT